TACTGTGTTCAGTTTTGGGCCCCTCACTGCAAGAAAAACATTGAGGCCCTGGAATGTATTCAAAGAAGGGCAACAAAACTGGTGTAGGGTCTGGAGCACAGGCCTTATGAGGAGAGGCAGAAGGAGCTGGGAATGTTCAGTCTGGAGAAGAGGCGACTCAGGGGAGACCTTATTGCTCTCAATAACTACCTGAAGGGAGGTTGTAGAGCTCCTGAAGGGAGCTGTAGTGAGCTCTTCTCTTGTGTCACTGGTGATAGGACTAGAAGGAATGGCTTCACACTGCACCAGGGGAGATTTAGGCTGGACATTAGGAAATACTACTTCTCTGAAAGAGTGGTCAGGCACTGGAATGGGCTGCCCAGGGAGGTGGTGGAGTCACCAACCCTAGAGGTGTTCAAGGAACTTTTGGATATTGTGTTGAGGGATATGGTTTAGTGAGTACTATTGGTGATTGGTGGATAGTTGCGCCGGATGATCTTGTAGATCTTTTCCAACCTTGGTGATTCTATGGTTCTGTGATCTCTCTTTATTCTGTCCTCTAAGGAGGTACCTAATTCTACGTTAATTTTTCATTCTGGTCACTTTTAATGAAATCTTATGGCTTTCAAATAATAGTTGCAAGTATCCTCATGATTCACTGAAAGCTAAGTGATCAGAAACTCTTCAAACTTCAGTAGGTCTATTCTTTAACTCTGGCTGGATTTATAAGCTTGAAATCAAAACGATTTACTAGACTACATGAGTGTAGAGGAGCTAGGCTTTAACTTTTTCATTCTCTCAGTGAGGATTTCTAATAATCATTCAAAAAAATGACCTCCTGCTTAAAGCTTCTACTTCTGTGTTATCCGGGGAATGAAAAGTAGCAAGCTAACTTCAAAAAGATTTCCAGGAGCTAGTAATTTACATCTTTACAGTATTGATTCATGCAGCAGACATACTAGTAGGAACTGCAAGACAGAATTAGCAGATGAATAGATAGATAAAATTCAAAACAAACCAGTTTGCTTAGCTCAAAATGAACACATGCTCATACTTTTTCTAATAGTTTTGTTCCAACATTTTTCTATAAAACTGGAAAATATCAGGTAACGATTTTCTAATAATGATTCTGTTCGCATGCACTTTTTTTTTTTTTCCATGAAGACTGCAATAGCTGTTATGTTTACTCCTCAACATGATGATTAGATAGGTGAGAACATTTTATGTTTCTCATCATTTTGCAGTTGGGTATCTACACAGGACAACAACTAACACTTAGGAGTGATAAGAATACCATGTGCTGAATTACCATGCACGAAAGAGATACAAAGTTCCTCTATAAAAAGGGGAACTGAAATTATATGTGAAAATTAAACCTTGTAAGTAAAAATTATACCCCTCTAAAATTCCAAAAAAGTCTTGGACATGGCACCAGAGATTTAAAGCTGAAAAGAAGTAGCATATTGAGATCCAATTTTTGGAGTGAGGGTGATGTGAAAATTAATCTTCTTATTAGAAAACAAATCTACTGAAGTTGTACCCTATGGAACCTGTTTACATACATTTCTGAAAAGCTTAAGCAATGCTAGACGGAAACAGATGATATACCAAGGAGGAAATGAATGGTAAGGTGCAGTTTTGTAGAATGATCCAATCATCCAGCCCAAACTTACATCTGAAATGCTGTAAAATGATAAACACAGGCTAAACAGAACTACAGAATATTACCAATATTAGTTACTATAAGTACCCTTACTAAAACACATATTTTCTCTTTTTTTTCAAACATCTTGCTCTGCAACATTAAGCATGGATATTTTTTTGCAGAAGTTTTTGGTAAAATCTTTTACTTACATTGCAAAGATTGGGTTAAAGTCTATTGGGTTAAACTATCTGGTTTTGCAAGTAATTTCTATGGTGAGATCCTTTCCAACAGCAAAATAGGATAAATATCTAGTGAAGTCCTTAAAAAAAAAGAACAAAAACAAAAACAAACAAACAAAAACAAACAAACAAAAAACTAGATAACTCCTTAAATTGCAAAATTACTTTCAGTTAAAATAAGTTCTGATCCTGAGATGAATAGTCCTGTGAACTACTCCCATTGATTGCAGACTAGTCACAAAGGAGGACATTTTGCTTAAGGCAGCTTCCTGATTGCAAGAATGAAAAAGAATACCAAACTAATTAGATTCAGTCATTTCCTTCTAAATCACTATTATTTGTGGTACAGAAATGAAACTGAAGTTAGATGATGGTATTTATAATGTAATTTTGTAATTACTATTATTAAAAGGGAGTAAAAAATCTATTCTGTGTCCTGACCGTAGTAAGAATTAAGCAGGTGACAAACCTCTCCATGCTAAAAGCTCTACTCAAAAGCTGCTCCCATCTGTAATCCTAACTTAATATTTATTTATAGGTATTTCTACCTTGCTTCCATCTGTTTTCTCTTTCTCTACATGAGTGAAAGATTTCCTCTCTCTCTCTCTCTCTCTTTCTCTCTCTCTCATGCCCATTACAGTCAAACTGTCATGTTTCAATATTGCCTTCCTCAAACTCTCCTATACAGATAACACCAGAGTTTGTGTGAGTTTGATTTTTGGCCAGAGTTTTATGCTTCAGCTTTTTTATTATACAGGTAAGGTTAATTGCTTATTACATTTATCTTGCATGAAAACCAAGGCTTGGTTGCAGCTTCCATAATTCTTCACTCATCTCCCACCTTGTATTTCAGACTCTTGAAAGCTCTACTAATTTTGGCTGAAACAGAGGTGGGTTGTTTTTTCACAGTAGGTGGTGTGGTGCTTTCTTATAGAACTGTGACCAAAACAGCACTGAGCTACTTCAGTTGTTGCTGAATAGTACTGACAGTCTCTTTCTTCTCTGTTTTTCCCAGCAAGGAAGCATAAGAACCTGGGGAAGCACAAGGTGGAGGGGGAACACTTCCAGAACACCAGACCCAAGAATACTAAAGTGATATTACATGTCACATGATGTCTTCCTTAGCAATAAAAACTGAACAAAGCAGGAAGGGGAAATATTCATTGTTACAGCATCGGTCTTCTTGAGTAACCGTTACATGTGATGAAGTCCTAGTTTCCTGACACTGCTTAAGCATCAGCTTAGTAGTGCTCAATGCTTAAATATTAAGAGTAGGAAATTGATTTTTCTTTTTGCTTTGCCTGCACTTATTTTCTTTTCCTGTTATGTTGTATTTATCTCAATTCACAAGTTTTCTCACTTTTACCCTTCTGATTCTTAACCTCTGACTCTGTGTAGTATGGTTACATGACACTTAGCTACCTACTGAATTTAAACTGCAACAGAAGCTACAGGAGCATGTTAATCTGCTGTTTCCTTGGCTGATGTTGCTGACAACATGAAAAATGTGGCTGATTGCTGTGATCATGAAAGGATTAGAGAAAACAGTTCCATATTTGTTATATTGTGATTATTATCATTAATCTCTGATAGATTACAAAAAGTCTGTTTCTTTTGCATTGAGGAAAGTCTTCCTATATGATTATCTAGAAAAGCAAAAATCATTAAGGAAATAAAGCAGCAATAGGACAAGATATTTACTGCTGAATGTAGTCTGTCTGAGGAAGCTGATGAAATCTTGTAATGGAGCCCTGTGAAAAAACAGTGTTCTCCCTAGGAAATTTGTTTAACAGCGATAAACTGTGCTCCCGTCTCAAAAAAGATATTTACTTTTACCTCACATGATGAAAAAATTATAGATTACAAGAATGATATACAAAGAAAGTAAAAACTATCTTTTTACATTGCTAAAGCATTAAAAAGAAAAATTAAAACTCTATTAGTAGTTGTGCTTACCATTTGGGCCAGGGCTACATCTGATTTTAAACTACACAGTCTGTATGGTAGAGCTGCAGTCATTATAGCACACACAAATGCATGAGGGTAAAATGGTTACCTGGGATGACCTTCGAAAGATGAAGTAATGAATGGTATTTTTAACAGCTGCTCTCTTATGTTGTATTTCAGTGTTCTGTAGTCACACACAATAGATAGACTCTTCTCAGAAAAGAAAAGCACCCAGTCAAGAACGAAGGTAATTCAGTTCCTCTCTAGTCTGTTTACCAGGAAGGCATTTAGCAATACCAGGAAGAGCTCTTTATGAAAGAGCAATGTACTGAGCTTTGACATGAGTGTTATTATTTCTTCTAGAAGAGAAGATCAGATAAGGACATTTTATCTGTACAAAACACAATCCCCGGTCAAGATGCTTTTCTCAACCTGCGGTATGAAAATGTTGCATCTGCTTTGCTAGATGCATACAACTTTGTTCAGTCCCTGTAACTTTCAGTATTTACTTTGCCAACATCATAATTCTTCTTGGCATCCATTACCTCTGGAAGAGTGACTTTAAGGCCTTCTCGGTGTCCTTAAGCCAAGTTTTTAGGGGTTTTAAGCTTTGTAGTGTGACGTTGACAAGCAGTGAGCAAATACCAGTAGTGCAATCTATAGCTATATATCAGGATACTCTGTAATGACATGACTTCAGGTGCTGAACTTATATGGACTTATATTTTCATTTCTCTGTATGTGATTTGATGCCTGAAAAGACTACCTTTTGTACTTCAGATTCAGAATCAAGTACTTCCTTCCTTTCTAGCATAGAAATTTGTCTAGTTGTTCTATACATGACAAACAGCTAGCAAATACATGTATTTTTCAAATGAATTTGTGAGACTGGCACAGAAAAAAAAAGCTAACAGGACAACAAACAACAACAACCAGAAACAAACAAACAAAAAAATCAAAACAAAACAACCCTGAATACATCCTCTTAGTACTTCATTACCAGTAATTACTTCTCCTGTTTTGTTTTGTTTTCTTTTGTTTTCAGAAGCATGGACAGAAAGTGTTTCTCCTTCAAGCTCTTGTATTCCTGAAAATTTAGTAAGAAGTGATCCTGAACCTAAACCACAGGCCACAACTCACTCATCAGCTCCTCTACCAGGCAGCATAATTAATTTTTCAGAAGAGATTCAAGAAAATCCTTCATGTGGGATTAAAAGTGTTATGATTGAGGAGACACCTGAGCAGGGTGAGCAGCACTTTGTCCTTAAATGTTCAGATTGAGAATGTACTATTTTCCACTAAAGAGTGACACACTGTAGTCTCAAAGCAGAAGTAGTAGAATGTAAAAAGCATGATAGTCCATATTGCATCATCAGTGTGAGAGTTCCTGGTATGATTCAGCATATAGGTAATAGAACTTGTTCTCTAGGCCCTCACATAGAAGAGATGCCTCTTGGCCTTATCCCCATTACAAAAAAAAAAAAAGCCATTAGGAGAGCAGTCCTTTATTATCTCTTGTTTATCTGTAAATTCTACAAGAAGTATAACCTGACAGATTCTAAAAACTATCAAAAAATAGAGTTTCAGTTGTTGAGAAATAATATTTCTGGTTAGTTTGTGTCTATATGACTATGCCAGGTAAGATTAAACGTTTCCAAATAGCTTGTTATATTACCAATCTGACATGTTAAAAAAGAAAGTGTTTTTTCTGAAGAATAAAGAGCAACAGGAACAACTGAAGTTTTACTCTGAAAAAGGTAAATGTTATACATTGACTCTAGTTATAGAAATGAAAGACTTCTGATTTGAGGACACTTGAGTTCTGAAATGGGATTAAGTTTCCTGTTGCTATGTTGGTTTTAAATTCATCTTAAAGATGGCATCAAATGTAAGGAGAAAAAATTGACAGAGATATCTAGTCAATGGCATATCAGAAAATCCTGCACAACAAAGTTGTGAAAACATATATTAAGTAGCTGGATGTCTAACGAATGCTCAGCTAAAGAAAAGCCAGATATAGGCTGACATCTATCATGTGTGCATCAATCTGTGGGAGTTTGAGATATGCTTCTTCACCATGGACTGCTGTAGACCACAGCATAACTTTGAAGCCATTTCAGTAGAGGCTGTGGCAAACTCTGTTTGCATTTTTTTCCAGTAAAAAACAATGAAGCATTTCTGATATCCACTAAGAGTTTTAAGATTAATCTTTTTTGAGGCAGGAAAATGGAATCTTCAGTGTTGGCTTGCAATCACTGATGCTCCCATGTTTGTTTTTGTTTGTTTGTTTGTTTGTTTCTTTGTTTTTACCAGAAGTGGGATTATGAATAGTAAAGAGCTTTTTCAAGATTATCTATGGTTTCAAATATAATATGTTGCAGAGAAATTCAAATACGAATTAAAGAGAAAAAAAAAGTAGATCTGAAATGATAAAGTTCTTTCAGAAGTAATTACTCTCTCTGTATATTTTAGCATGCATTCTTTAGTGACATATTTTAGAAAATATAACCTTATATATACATAATGATGTATATAATATATAATGACGTGAATGATGAATTCAATAAAGAAAACTTGAGCTAAAGGGCACTCTTTCCAAAACCTGTTTATTTAGTTACGTATTTTACCTCCCATTAAATTGGATTTTAGAAAAAAAGAGTTTTATTGTTGTATAGAAATTAGGATCTGATGATTTTATCCAGAACCTGGATAAACTGTTTTAAGATAATACATTCTGTTACAAAATTCCCAGCAAAAAACAAAACAAAGAGACTCATATTTGATTTTTTTTTTTTAAATCACTGCTCTTGAGGTATATGAATATTGCTTGAGGAACTCAAAAAAGTAGCCCTACATCTAGATCTCCCCAGTGACCAAAAATCCTTAATTTCTGATAACTGTCTCAATCTATTTAAAGAGGCAGAAGACTTCTTCCAAACGCTGTTCTGAATTTTACTCTAGAATACTTGACAAGATACTCCAACAAACTTAAGCAACAAACAACAACAACACACGTGGGCCATATATATCTTCTTCAATAATGTAATCTTTCCAACCACCACACATTTGATTTCAGTGATACTAAACAAAAGCCAACATCTCAAAGATGAGAAGCAAGACTGAGGGACATCTTTACATTCAGTATACGTCTATTTCCAGAATCACGTAGAACCATTGAAAAATCAGGCAAATATTGCATCCTTTTTCTGCTTGTGGTTCTCTCAGTGATTCCCTGATTTCCCACTCTTCATTATGACATTTACTCATTATATACTCTGAAATTCTGTTAGTCCCAAAAGAATTAACACATACCATAGTTTAATTTGATGATTTACTAAAGAGAATCTGAGTGTTCAAAGATTTTTCCTTGATTTTTACAAGTAACTTATTCATTTGTTTGATTGTTTAATAGATATGGAGGGAAATTTTTGGCTGCAGAAACTTGGAATGAGTATAAACAAGTGGTCACAGCTGAATTCCCTGACTGAACTGCATGAAAACAGAGCTCTAGAAAAAGGTATATTTCTATAATAATTCTTTTTCTTCTTCTTTTTTTCTTTTCTGGAACACATACTTCATTTACTATATTACATAAATCTTGAGGCTACTGCTTTTTTCTGTTATTTTTCTTTCCTTTATATGTGCTCAGATTTCTGAATTCAACTAAGTAGCTTGAATTTTTATGTCACTCTTTTAACTATTCTGCCTACATTCTTTTGTCCTTACACATCTTTCAGTTAATTATTTTACTTAAGTAAAATATTTCAAAGTAAAACATATCAAAATAATTTTCTAGTAGAAAGTTAGCTGCTGTGCTAAGTCAGTTAGAGGGTCTGATCTGAAAACATTTAATTATATGTTTCTTATTAAAGAAAAAAAAAAAAAGAAAATGAAAGGGGGTAGTTTTTATCACACTCTGGCATAAACTGAATCTTTCAAAACAACTTGTAAGAAGTGGTTGTGAAAAAGACATTGAAGTATCCTACTTAGCTATGATAAAAGCTAGATTTATTAGGAGGTAGCACTTTTCTACATTAGTTTTAATATAAGTTTTTGTTTGTAGCTTTAGTGTGTATCAGTAACATCAGAGTTACCATGGACAACTAATTGTCAAGCAAAATGAGAGCAATTGTGTCCACTGGTCAAAGCTGATGAGTTGTTAAAACTCTCCCCCCAAAGGCCCATTTCCTTTGTCATCAGGCAAAATAGATACATTTTACAGCTATACTTGACCTTCCAAGTAATTGTGCATTTCAGTTCTTGCTGATAGAAATTACTTACGGTTATTTACTTCCAGTTGATAGCATAATTTTTTTGTTGTAAAACAGATCATCCAAACACATCTGGAGTTTGTTCTGATCTTGAACACAAAGTTACTGAGCTGGAAGAGTATAAAACCAAAGAAGAATTGCCATATATCCCATACAAACTTGCTACATTGTATATCTTAAAGGTAAAATAAAAATAAAAATTAAAAAATGAATGAATAAGTTACAATACAAAAAATTAACAATTAAAGTAAGTTCATCTGCACATAGGATATACTTAAATGCATTGTTTCCCTCATAAACTTTTTCATTATAGAAATCCAATTCACACTATTTTATTGCTCAATAGATTTTTCTTCGTATTAAGAAATCTGCACTTAAATTTTGGACACAGAATTATGGATGTTAAAAAGAAAATGCTATTGTAGTTAAAATAAGATACTGAATTGTTTAATTTTGCCTCTAAGGTAATTGTCTGAAGTTAACAAACAAAGTACCACATCCCTTGAGGATGGAGAAAACCTTTGTATTCACATGCTGTATTTCTCACCACAACGCTTGATTGCCAGAAATGGCTTTTGATTTGCAGTACAAGGTCTTGTTTCAAGTTCAACATTTCTGTTGTCAGTAGAAAACTCATTAATTAGCCTGATGCAGCCCTCTGTTTATTGTTCATTACTGGTTTTTCATGTCAGCATCAACGAAGTAAGAAAGAGAAGTCTAAGGGTAATTCAAAGGGATTTCAGGGACTTGGGGCAACTGGAAAAGCGTGAGGTGCACAAGCAATGTTTTCCCCTATTTTTCCAGTAGCAGAGAACAATACTGTAAGGAACAGGCAGACCCTGCTGTTGGCTCTGAAGCTGGTGTTACTGCCAAAGTTTTGGGTTTCTTCACCACGTGACCATCTACACAACACCAGGCTTGCTGGAGGTTGTGGAGATGAACCTTTTTCAGAGGGAGAAAAGGATTTCAGAGTAGGAATTGGTAGGGCTGATCAGTAGAGCTTTAAACTAGATTCAAAGGAAGTGAAAGGATAAAACCTAGCCTAAGGGACAACTTGCCAACATTTGGGGGTCTGCACTCTAGTGAGTGCATCAATATGTTTTTCATATATGTTTCCCCAAGTGCTGGGTACAATGTAAAATGTCTGCAGTGTTTCTACACCAATGCGCACAGCATGAGGAACAAGCAAGAGGAGCTAGGAATTTAGGCTCAGTCCTAGAGCCATGACACCAATGGCATAAGCAAACCCCCTTGGGAAGAGCCCTCTAAGTGGTATGTTGCAATAGACAGTTCCGAGCTCTTTCAGCAGGGACAGGCAGGGCAGGTGAGGCAGGGGGTGTGGTGTATGTGTGGAAAGAGACAGGCTGTGCAGAACTCATAGTTGGCTATGACACAACTGAGCCCCCAGGTAAGGATGAAAGGTCAAATAAAGCAGACTGGCTACCCAGCTAGACACAGACTCTAAGCTTTGAGGAAATGGTCCTTCAATGTTAAACAACTCTCTTGGGCTCCCAGATCTTCCAGTGTTCTAACAAATGGGATACCTCCTTGAAGAGGTCAAAGTTGGCTTTCCTGAAAACCAAAGTTGCATTCCTACTTACATACCTTTTTTTTCCACACAAGATCCTGAACTCTGCTATTTCATGTTTGCTGCAGCCAAAGCTGCCACCAGTCTTCACATTCACAACCAGCCCTTCTTTGTCAGTTAAAAAAAAAAAAAAAAAAAAAAAAAAAAAGTCCAGTCAGTCTCTCCATGCATGTTGGCTCTCTGCTACCTGTTTACAGATGTTATCATCAGTGCTCTGCAGGAACCTCCTGGACTGTGTGCTTGGCAGTGTTTCTTTTCCACAAATATCAGGATGACTGAAGTCTCCCATGAGAACTGATGCCCAGAACCATGAGGCAATAACGCCTCACCAACTTCCTCCTCCTGATCAGTCAGCCTGTAGTAAACACCCAGTGGTGTTTACACCACAGTGGTGTCACCCATATTAGCCTGTCCCTTAATTCTCATCTGTAAGATTTCACTTTATCACTGATCACTAGGCAGAGCTCAATACATTCCAGTTCTTTTCTTACATAAAGAGCAATTCCATCAGCTCACCGCTCTGGTCTGTATTTCCTAAAAAGCAGCATTCTAGACAGGCAAGCTGTCCCACCATGTCGCTATCATCACAATGAAATTATGAACCTACAACCACACACAGATCTCTAGCTCTTTATATTTATTCCTCTTGCAGTGTAAATTGGTATATTGGCACTTTTCTGTTTTATTTAGTCAGCTACTGTCAGAAGAATCTACCTTGCATTAAAATGCAACCAAGGATATCTATGAGTAGCTCCCAGTTTTTATACTTTACACACTCATGTCTATTATTGCTGTAATTCATCTGGTAATATCTGTCAGACTCACTCAAAATGCGACACATATCACTGTTATGTAAATTTGCACTGCACCTGCAAGACAAGGATGTAAAAAGAAAAGTAACAGAAACTGGGATGGGAAATAGTGGAATTTTTCTTTTGTGACTATTACGAAATAGAATGACTAAAATTGAGTCACTGAGGATCTTTAGGCAATTTTAAGCTTAAATGACTCATTTTTCAAATGAGAAAAAAACATCACTTTGCCAGTCCCTTATGTACATATAAGTTAATGAGAAATGATTATAGTGATTCTTAAAGTTATATCAATTTTGAACTTGTTAAAAAATTACCTTAGTGGCATACTGAATGCAACTAAGTTCCGTATGTTACCAATTTGTGTTATCTAACTTTTAAATGCAAAAATGTTATCTCCACTGTCCACTCTTTTTTTAATTACTGTTAGTTTTTTTTTTTTTTTCCCAGCAAGAAGTTTAACAAGGTTGTTTTTATTTTTCAAGAACTTAGAATAATTGTAATGACTGTCTTCCGTACTCAGATCACTACTCTACAAAAACAGAAATGGACAAGAAGAAAAAATCCACTTCAAGTAAATGAACAGACCCATATTTATTAAATAACATAATGTAGTTGAATAGAATCTAATTGTTGAGTTGAATCTCGTTGCTGAAGCCTCAGTGTTTTTGTCTAGAGTCCAGGCTATTTACATGCTTTCAAGGTCAGCTTAGTCTCCATGTTTTTAATGTCATTTTGAAAAATGTACATCAAAATTGTCTGATGATTCATTATAATTGGAGTTCATTCTCTAGTGTTCTGATTTCATCATTTCTTCCATCCTCTGCAGATTGTAAAAGACATGCAGGAAATGAAAAGCAAGCATATGAAGATAATCAAACAACTGGAAAATATCAAAAAAGAAAAACAGGTAATTATTCTGGAGCCTGAATATCACTGTGTCATATTATTAGTCAAAGTGAAACAGATGGAATCATAGAATAGGTTGGGTTGGAATGGACCTCAAGGAACATTATGTTCCAAACCCCCTTCCACAGGCAAGGCCACGAACCTCCAGATCTGGTGATTGACCAGGTTGCCCAGGGTTCCATCCAAACTGGTATTGAGCACTTCCAGGGATGGGGTGCCTACAGCATCTCTGGCAGCCTGTTCCAGCACCTCACCTCTCTCTCTGAAGAATTTCCCCCTGACATCCAATCTAAATCTTCACTCCTTCAGCTTAAAATCATTCCCCCTTGTCCTGTGACTATCCATCTGAGTGACAAATTGATTCACCTCCGGTTTATAATCCCTTTTAAATACTGGAAGACTGCAGTGAGGTCTCCCTGCAGCCTTCTCCAGGCTGAACAAGCTCAGGTCCCTCAGCCTGTCTTTATAAGGGAGGTGCTCCAGCCCTCTGATAATCTTTGAAACCTTCCTCTGGACCCTCTCCAACAACTCCACATCTTTTTTGTACTAGGGGCCCCAGATCTGGATGCAGTACTTCAGATGGGACCTCATGAGGGCAGAGTAGAGAGGGACAATCACCTCCCTGTCCCTGCTGGCCACCCCTCTTCTGATGGAGCCCAGAATACCATTGGCCTTCCAAGCTACAAGAGCACATTGTTGGCTAATGTTTAGTTTTCCATCCACCAGTACCCCCAGCTCCTTCTCCACAGGGATACTATTAATGAGTTCTTCTTTCTGTCTGTATACATATCTGGGCTTACTCCAACCCCAGTGCAAAATTTTGCACTTTGCTACATTAAACCTCATTAGGCTTACATGGCCCCTCCTTTCTAGCCTCTCAAAGTCCCTCTGGATGGTTTCACTTCCTTCTAATGTGTCAACTGCACTACTCAGCTTGGTGTCATCAGCAAACTTACTGAGAGTGCACTCGAGCCTGACATCAATATCATTGATGAAAATGTTGAAAAGCACCCGTCCCAAGACAGACCCCTGGGAGACACCATTCGTAACTGGCCTCCAAGTGCACATGAAACCATTCAACATAACCCTCTGTCTATGGCCTTCCAGCCACCGAATATCCACTGAACAGTCCACTCCTCAAATCTGTATCTCTCCAATTTAGAGATGTATTGAGGGACCACATCAAAAATTTTGCACGAGTCCAGGTAGATGACATTGGGTACCTTCCCTTTGTCCACCAGTGTCATCACTCCATCATAGAAGGCCACTAGTTTGGTCAGGCATGACCTTGCCATGCTGGCCATCTCAGATCACCTGTTCATCCCTCACGTGCCTTAACATGCCTTCTAGGAGAACCTGTTCCATGATCTTTCCAGGCACAGAGGTGAGGCTCACTGGTCTGTAGTTCCTGGGTCCTCTTTCCTCTCTTTCTTGTAAATGGGAATGACATTTCCATTTTTCCTGTCCCTGAGGACTTCACCCAACAGTCACAATATATGGTATATATTCATATATGGTGTCAAGTGACTCAGCAACCACATCAGCCAGCTCATTTAGGACTCTGGAATGCAAGTCATCTGGCCCCACAGACTTGCATATATTCATTCTCATGAGGCAGTCTCAGACTTACTCTGCCCTTACAGAGGGGGAGCAGGGAGGATTTACTCCCCTGGTTTCCAGCTACAGGGCCAGGGATATGAGCTTCAGGGACATGAGCAATACAAGAATCCTGGCAGTAAATGAAGACCGTGGCAAAAACTCATTTACTACCTCAGTCTTCTCCATATCTGTCATAGCCAGTTCTCCTTTCTCATTTACCAAAGGAG